TCAGTACAGTATTCAGTAAATTACTCAATAAATTGTATTGCAAACTTTGTAGTAGATGGTTTTGTGCAGCTGGTGGCTGGCGTATGCTGAGCATGATTAAGGTAGGCAAGGCGAGCCTAGGGTGTGAAGTTCATGAAGAGCAATCAATGCTTTTCTGACTTACCACATTCTTAACTTAGGATGGGCTCATCGGCATGCAGCGCCACTGTAAACTGAGGAGTGGAAACCTCTGAAAAAGTGAGCCATGATAAACTTTTCCTCCTTAAAAGTGATTATTTCAAGTGTTTTATCGCAGTTGCAGAAACTGTCAAGAGTGGAGACATTTTGCCCTGATGGAGGCGAATCTGGCTTAGGGCAGCTCACTTTGCATACCTGAAAAATAGGGGTGCTTCAATCTCAGCTATGAAGACCCAGATGACTAGTCCTGCTGCTGCCAGGGCACTAACATGTCGTCCCCCTCTGTACATAACACTGCCTTCTGTCCACCACTCACTGAGAGGCCGCCCTGAGTCACAGGGGACTCCACCAGTGGAAGAGGTAAAGCCAAGTTACAGGCTGTGTCCTGCTGAAAGCTGAATCAGTGTTTTGGAAAGTCAAATTGAGAAACTAGTATGTATCACATGGGGAAAAGGATGAAAGGGGTATTATGAACGTAAGTGATTCGAAGGATAGAGCCCAGAAATGGTCTAGATGTAGGAAAAGGCTGTGGGAGAGAGAAATTGAAAAGAAAAAAACCAAAAGGAACAGCAGGAATTTTCCTATTGCCAAAGAAGAGGCGAGCTTGTGTGGAAAGGGTTCCCCAAGTGACACCTCAGAGATTAATATCATCCGGACCTAGCCTGATGGAATTGGTGAACTCTAAAAATGGAGAGAAAATTGTACAAGACTCCAGACAAGGATCAGATTTTTGTACCAAAGTAAAACAAATCATATTAGTGTTAAACTGCACATCTACAAGCTGAAGGTGTAGCTGGAATTGTGCTGGAGGAGAGAGCAAGTAAGGATGTCACACGAAAAATATTCTGTCTGAGCAACAACCCATTTCCTAGACATAAAAGGATTATCTGCAGAATGGCCTTGGCAGTTATTCTAGTAAAATAATATGAGGCTGTAACAAATCTTTCCAAAAAACCCACAAAGAATAAGAGGCAGTGGTGAGCAATGAATTGAGTAATTACAGCCGCAGTCCACGGTGGCTGGTAATGCTACATACCTGGAATAAATGCTCATGTAATTATTTGAAGACTTGAAGAAGGAGCAGGATCAGTGGCAGAAAGCAAACTGGGTCTCTTCCTATTCTCCTGTGATGCCACCTCAGTGACTGTGTGTTTCAGTGCTTAAATCTTATGTTTACCTAAAGGATGTTTTATATAGCGGGAGGTACCTCCATGTCGAAGAATGTGTACATACAGATTTTATCTTCAAAACGACATCCAATTTGAAGTAAAGGTGATGAGACACTGTTCTGTGACAAGAATGTGAAGGTGAAGTGTCCTTCGGTATCTTCCAAGGATGCTCATGTCTCTCGCATAAAGTGGCCCAGTAGTTGCATAGAATGTATGCGTACCGTCTCATGTATCTTGAGTCATCTCTAAATGACTTGTCATATCTAATTGTTTCTGTCAGTGTTTACTAGAAAGATAGATATAACACAGCATACACAAATGGATAAGAAATTACCAGATTGGCTTATGATGGCCACCCACTGAGGAAGCATACAGAGCGTCTGCACACCGGAGACCAAAACATTCAGTCTAGGGTCTGGAGCTCGCTGCAGTGTCTGTGCATGTCCGTATCAGGGCTGTGATCTATCCTGGAAGGCTGAAAGGTCTACAGTGCAAAGCTGAAGAGTCTACAGTCAAAGGCTAAAGGATGCGCACAGAAGCTGAGAGTTTACATTAGAAGGCTGAAGAGTCTCTGATGGAAGCCAGGAGACAATGGCCAAGCTGAAGACGGAGACGGGCTCCTGAGTAAATGAAGCCACTCTTCCTTCCTCCTTTCCCTTTATACCTTCGAGATAACAAGCTGTCCTGGGGCGGATCTTCTACACCCAAGCATATAGAGACAGGAGCTGCCCCAGGATGCGTCCGTCCTCTGTACCCTAGGGTGTAGAATTGCTGAGCTGATTTAGTTAAGCTTCTAAACTGCTCAAGTTGACACAATCCACCATGACACTGATATGTTGTGGATGCCATATACATAGTTGTTATACTGACTTTTAGGAAATGATAAGAAAAGGATCTCTGCATGTCCAGTACAGATGAAATGCTAAAGAATATCTTCAGTCTGCATTTAGTTGAATCCAAGGGTGCAGAACCTCTGGATACAGAGGATGTGTGTTTCTGCAGTGTGCTTGGCCTGTGTCAGGCCATGGGGATACGGCATGCTGTAGGGTAGTGTCACTCCCTGAGCAGTGGAGCTGCATGTGCACCTGCCAGTACCTGCAGACACCGTTTGCCCTCTGCCACCCTGACGTCAGGGCACGGACATCTGTGGTCCTGGGTTAGCACTGTGCAGCACATGCTGCTGGGGAGTCCTTTTGGGGAATGCTGTTTTGGGGGCTGCGTGCAGAAAAATGTGGCTGCTGAGTCCTTCACAGAATCTCCACAGCACGTCCTTTGTGGCTGGCCATTCCCTGGGAATGTCACAAATCTGTCGTGCCATCATATCTTGTCTTTAAGTCAGCTCGTGATGCTCGATGTGACTGCAGGTTACCATTCACAGTGGATGTGGAGCCCCTAGTGTTCTCCCTGGGGATGGGTCCTGCTCACCAAGTTTTCCTGGTGTGGGACACCTCTAAGTCAGCGAAGCATTCTGAAGAGGTGTTGCAAACTGACAGCACCCACAGGCTGTTGTCAGGGGACAGCCCCACGTGAGCCCCTCGCAGACTCAGGAGGAAAGGCTGATCCTGTTGGTGGCACATTTCTGGAATGAATTCACACATCAGAAGCATGCGTCTCCACTGGTAATTGTGCTCACACTCTGAGCCTCTGCACTGGATGAGATAATTATCTCTTTCTCAGTTCTTCTGGGAATGTTCCTAATGCTGTGACTGTGACCATCTGGCAAGGCCGTCTCCTAGCAAGACGTGTTTTGGGCACTGCTGTAAGCTGGGAGCACTGTGGGAGAGGCAGGGTGTGCAGGGCCACAAGTCTGTGAGCTCCCCAGGGGGCAGGATTTAAGAAAGAAGCCTGGACAGTGACTGCCCCGGGCATGGCGCCTCCCTGTCCATGCTTCCTGTGTCTGAGCTCAGGTTCATGGTTCCTTCTGCCTAAATAGCCACCGAGCCTTTCCTCCTACTATTTCAATGTAAGATCTCATTGCTGTTTTTTAAAGTTTGTTTCGTGTGGTAAGACAGACAAATACAGAATTCACTATTTTACCATTTTTCAAATACCTAAGTTCTCTCTTACTTTCTTTTTTCCTTTTCCTTTTTCTTCACAGTAGTGGCAAACGAACCAGGTTCTCACACTGAGCTCTGCCCCCAGCCCTTTGTATTTTATTTTCTTGAGACAGCTTCTTGTAAGTTTCTCAGGCTGACCTAGAACCTGCTACGTCAGCCTCCAGAGTAGCTGGGGTTGCAGGTATGTTCCACCATGGCCAACTGAGTTCTCATTTCTCTACTGGACTACTGGAATACATTTTTAAGACATAAATAACTGCAATATAAGCAAAAAGACATGTTAGAACCTCAGCCAAACGTTTTTACACCCTCTCCTTTACTTTTTCCCGATCCCAGCTCCTCCCTTATCCCAGAAAACCAGCGTAGTTTAACCAGTTTCCCTCCTCCTAGCTGTGGCCCTGCTAAATCTTCTCCAGGCTGGGGATGGTGGTGCATGCCTATAATCTCAGCTACTTGGGAGGCTGAGGCAGAAGGATTACAAATTCAAGACCAGTGCAGGTAATTTAGCAAGAACTTGTTTCCAAATTTTAAAAAGTGCAGAAAGAGTTGCGGATGGTGACTTGGTGGATTACCTTGTCTGTTACGCACTGTGGCTCTGCTTGGCTCGGAGAATGAAGTAAGCCATGCTGTGTGTGGGGTCTAGGTCCTCTCCCATAGGACACGTGAGCCGTGGTGCAGCCTGGATTCCCTTCTTCCCATAGCTGCACAGTACTGTCCTCCTGGATGCTGGGCACCGGTGCTGCCCTGTGCCTTGCTTAGCTAGAGTGACACCTGCACACCTCGTCCCTCCGTGAATGGGATGGGGAGCAGGCAACCAAGCAGGGCCAAACCTGGAGGAGCGGGCACTGAGGTGTCCTCAAGGAGCTGTGGGCGTGTTTAGCTCTTGTTTTAATGTACAATGTTATTTTAAATTCTACACAAGAATTCTACACATTCACAGGATTTTTTAAATGACGGGGCAGTATTTTAAATTATAGGGAAATGTCAGCCTTCATTTCTACATGGAACCCTGCTGAGGACTCCTCCCAAATGTACTTTATTTATTCATTATTTTTATCTCACTTTACTTTTAATTGATGCATAATTGTGCCAGTTCTAGGGCACAGCGTGATGCTTCAGTGCACGTGCACCCTGTCCGGGAGCACAGGTGCAGCCTGGGAAAACCTCATGTGCCTTTATACCCCTCAGCGTCCTGCCTTCTGGCAGATGGCTCTTCTTTTCTCTTTCAAGAGCAGCCAACCTCATCTTTCAGCTATCTGTCTTTTAGACAGAGCCGCCCCTGAGCCGCCCCTAATGGAGCGAGCATTGTATGAAGGTCACGAAGGCCTCAGGAGTTCTGAGGGCCACAGGGGGATCCTGTGATGGGGATGCTTCCCCTCCTCTCCTCTCCTCTCCCCGAGCTCTGCCTGTGCTCCTTGCTGTGGTCACACATTGTCCCTGGTGTGTGAGGCTGCCGGGTGGGAGAGTCACAGCCTGAACAGATGCGTGTTCACGCTGCTCTGAGTGCACCCGGTGGCTGTGGAGCGGCTGTGTATTTCTCAACGTGGCTATGGTCTCTGGGTTCTGACTCTGTGCTTTCAAACATTCCTCCCCACAGTGGCTGCCTCCAGGTGATGATGGCCGTCTGAGTACCCACCATGGCCCACCGGAGCCGTCCGAGCACTGCCAACAGCATGCTTGACCACAGGGCCAGGCCAGGCCCCACGCCCCATGACCAGGAGCCTGAGAATGAGGACGTGGAGCTGCCCCTGGAGAGCTACGTGCCCACGGGCCTGGAGCTGGCCACCATGAGACCCGAGAGCCCCACGCCTGAGCAGCAGGAGTGCCATAACCACAGCCCCGATGGGGACTCCAGCTCTGACTATGTGAACAACACCTCCGAGGAGGAGGACTATGATGAGGGCCTCCCCGAAGAAGAGGAGGGCATCACCTACTACATCCGCTACTGTCCAGAGGATGACAGCTACCTGGAGGGCATGGACTGCAATGGGGAGGAGTATGTGGCCCACGGCACACACCCTGTGGACACCGATGAGTGCCAGGAGGCCGTGGAGGAGTGGACAGACTCTGCAAGCCCGCACCCCCTCAGCCATGGGGCTGAAGACAGCCAGGATTACCCAGACGACCACCTACCCATTCCGGAGGATGAGCCTTCTGCCTTGGAGGCCCAGGACCAGGAAGAAGGTGGCCACTACTGTCCCAGCAAAGACGGTTACCAGGACTACTACCCCTCGGAGACCAACGGGAATGCAGGCAATGCCTCCCCCTACCGCCCCAGGCGCGGGGACGGAGACCTGGAGGACCAGGAGGAAGACATTGACCAGATCGTGGCTGAGATCAAGATGAGCTTGAGCATGACCAGTATCACCAGCGTCAGTGAGGCCAGCCCTGAGCACATGCCCGAACTAGGGCCCGGGGACTCCACGGAGGCCTGCGTGCCTGGGGAGGCCAGCCACGGGCCCAATCGGCATGAGGCCAGGCCCAAGTCACTGAACCTTCCTCCCGAGGCCAAGCACCCTGGAGACCTCCAGAGAGGCTTCAAAACCAAGATCAGGACACCAGAGGAGAGGCCAAAGTGGACACAGGAGCAGGTAGGTGGTGGTTGTCCCCTGGGAAGGGAGCAGGGGCATCCCATGAGCTGTGCAGCTCCTGTGCCCCTACAGGTGCTGAAAATGAGCACGTCATGGAGTTGTGACAGCAGGGGAAGGGGGCTGCCCTCCGGCTCACAGCGCATGAGCTGCTCTTCACCATTCAGTTACAGGGACTGCCGTGAAGCTCAGCCCTCCAGGCAGGGACACCAGGAGAGTCCCACAGGGGCCAAGTGGCAGCTAGTGCCTCTCCACCCTGCAGAAGGCTTGGGTTCCAGCCCATTGCCCTGCATTTCTCATGGCAGAAGAGCATCAGAGTGACAGCTCTCACCTCTGCCCGTGGCTTCCTGCGGCCAGCATGGCACCTGCAAGGATGGGGCTGTGTACGTTTACACACTGCTCCGGCCAACGCAAGGGCCGAAGCGTATTTCTGAGTGGTCACTACATCTGGGTTCCTTGTCTCTGAAAGCTCCAGGCTTTGTCCTGATGAGTATTTAGCTCTGAATTGTGACTCTGTTTTGAAAATAATTATTTGAAAGTTGGACAAAGTCTTCAAAAAGAAAGGAATGCGGATATGGACAGTGGTTATAAAAATAATATTTTCTTTTAATTAAAGCAAAGCAAGCATGTAGCCTAGTAAACACATCTTTTTAAAAGGCTGACATTTAAAAACAAAAAATCCGTCATGAGTATTTAAAGATGTGATTATTGTATTTGTGTAAAGAAACTTGTATTGGCCCTGTCTATGGACTACCTGAAAAACCTTAATTATTTTTTACCCAGAAAGCTCAAGAGTTTGAAAAATATATATGTATGTGTATGTATATATATGATTATAATATATGTAGCATGTAAAATACATATAATACATAGCAAAGGCTTGTATTTGGATTGTTTATCATATTGACTCAATATTAGATTTCTGGTGCTTGCAATTATGTTCTTTCTAAACATAAAATAGAAATGCACTTTCCTTTAGGGGTGCTCCTGTCCCAGCAATTCTGCATGCGAGGGCTATCATGGGGTATAAAGAAAGGGCAGGCGGCCCTGGGCCTGGAGCCCGGGCTCTGCACCACGTGGCCGTCATCTTTTCTCAGTCTCTGGCAGAGCTTGACTTGCCCCCAGCAGTGGTGATGGCACCACAGGGGTTGATGTGGGGCTCACAGAGCCTGTGAGGTGCTGCATTCTGTTGTGGAAAATGGCATCCATGTCAGAGATTACTCTGTCAGGAGAAAATTATATTTGGGACTTGTCGGGAGGAGTGAGCAAGACCAGCTGTTTTGCTCCTGGGGCTTCTTGCTAACCAGATGTGAACTTGGGTGAAATTCCTCAGAACTCTGACTTGAAGAGCTTTGGGATCAGTGAATGAATGAAAGGCTGGTAGTCCCAATTTATGACCATAGATGGTGGCATAGGAAGTCCCTAGCCATTGTGAGGACCAGGAGGAGGACACTGAACGGAAAAGCAGATAACTTCAGTTCCTGAGTTGAATGTGTGTCCTAAGCGAGTTCTTTTGCCCTGGATTCTGAAGAGCTCATTTAAGCCAGGGAATGACTGGAGCTTTTTTTCTTTCATTCATATTTCAGTCAGTCATCTATTCATTCACAAACTAGTTCCATCTGGGGAGACCGCCTAGCCACAAAGTCAGGTTGAGTGGCGCCTGATGAATGGGCCCATTTCACGTGAGGAACTCTGGAACTGGACCACTGCTTTCAAGACCATTTCTACCACCAGTGGTCCAATTCCAGAGTTCCTCACGTGAAATGGGCTACCAGGCTACAGGATGTGAGGCCCCTCTGCTGTGTTTGAGGGCTACCGAGCCCTCAGAAGGTGCATGCAGGGCAGTCTGAAGGGAAAGATGGGTGAAGCTGGCTGCTTAAATATTTTAGACTGTTGCTTTTTAAAGAGTGGTCATCACTGGGGGCGCACCCCAGGACTTCTGCATCTTTATAAATTATTTATTTTTTGTGATTTTTTTTTTTTTTTTTTTTTTTTTGTACTCACAACCTTGATTGAACTCACAACCTTGTGCTTATCAGGCAGGCACTTAGGCCGCTAAGCTAAATCCCTGGCCTGACTTCTGCATCTTAATGTGCATTTCATAAGACATCTCAGTCAAGTTGTAGGAGTGATGCTGTGGAAGAGCCCATTGCAAGAATAATGACCTAGCACCCTCATTTTTCATTATAAAGCCTGAAAAATTGAGTACTTTGACAGAATAGGTTGAGAGTATCTAATGTGAAAATCCAAAATCTGATGCATTTTGAGAACCTACCTATGCTACAAGTGGAAAGTTCCATACCTGACCTCCTGAGACAAGTCAAAACACTAGTGCACAGAATTATTATATACAGCTAACTTCAGGCTATCTGTGCAAATGTATTTGAAGCAAGTGAATTTTGTATTTATACGCAGGTCCCATGCCCAAGAAAATATGAAATCTCAAATCCAAAGCACTTCAGGTGCTGAGCTTTTTAGCAAAGGGATGTTCAACCTGTACTGAATAGCATTTATTAAGTCATTGCATCAATCACACAGAAGTTCATTAGAGTTCGAAATGGGGAATTGATGTGTGTTCTCAAAGGTTCCCAGCACCTCGACATATGAGTTCCTTTCATTTCTCTGTGTTCCTTGGCAGACTGTATCACCAGTAACATAGCTGCCATTGCATTCCAGAAGTAATGCTGTCACCAGCCTTGAAGATCGGACATGTCATAAACATTTCTCCACATTGCCGTGTAACTTTCCTGATTATTTTTCCTGGCCTCTCAATGTTCTGCTTGGGTGATGTGCCATGTATGTCTGTGCATGCCCTGCCATTGAGGAAAAACTGGAAAATATAAGCAAAAAAATACTGTGGGCAAAAATACTGAGGTAATGTGGGATTCCACTGGAGAAAGTTTTCAAATCAAAGAGATAAACTACCTGTCCTGGGAAACCTCATTAGGATTTCACAAAGCACGCTGTTAGGGGTGTTCTGTAAACAGACCAGATTTTGGTCCTTATCCATGATTCCGTATTTGTGAACTTGCTTGCTAAATTTATCTGCAACCCTGAAGTCAACACTTAGGACAGTCCTGTAGTCAGACATGGTCAGCTTCTGTTTTTCCAGCTGAGGCTGAACAAGGCTTTGCCTTTTTTTTAGCCCTCATGCTGTAAACTTTCCATGCTCCATCTAATGCTTCTGTGCTTTTTGTTAATGGCTTTTTAAGTTTTAGTGATAAAATCACCCCCAGATGTAGTGCTGCAGTGCTAGCCAGAGTTCCGGAGTTCAAGAAGGCTGTGCAGTGTGTGATAGAGAAAATACAGGTGTCAGATGGTGGACTTTGCTCAAGCATGATGTGCGGCAGGGCAGTGCCAGGGGGTCATCTGTCCCATGTGACCAGACAAGGGAAGAGAAACCTTGCTCATCCGTGTGTGGCTACTCTGCAGTGACATCTACAGAGTGTGATGAGGTTACAGAAGAACAGAAATATGGCTAAACTTACAGATTGATGAGCTGAATGGCCAAGTTTTAAAAAATTGTGTGGTAGGCTAGAGGCTCAGTGAATTTATGATCCTGTGATTCATTGAGAACAGGGAAATGTTAAAGTCCTCTCAGTGAGTGTTTTATTTTAAATAAAAATTGTATACACTTATTTATAACAAATAGCTATTCAGCGAGGTGTTTTTAAACCTAAGCCTATTTTTTTTTTTGTCTTTTTCATTTTTATCGGTACCGGGAATCGAACTCACAACCGCCTGCTTGCAAGGCAGGTGCTTGTGCTGAGCTAAACCCCCAGCCCCTAAACCTAAGCCTATTAAAACAAGGTTCTGGGTCAGCTGGTTGACAGGATCCCAGGCTGTATCTCCTCCTGGAAGAATCACTCAGTATTTACTAATTCAGGCTGTGCAGCACAGAATTATCAAGAAAGTGAATGGACTGTAACTCATTCCCCAGGACTGAAGGGAGGGAGGTTCTAGTGTCCCTTGCAGGTACCAAAATCCATGGTCGCTGCAGGGCCTCACATAGGTCTCATATGTGGTGTTTGTTAGAGTCTGTATACATCCGCTCAGACACTGTAAATCTCTAGATGATCTATAATACCTAATATGATATAAATGTTGTGTAATTAGTTGTTTTATTGTCTTGGTTAGTAGAATAATAACAACAAAAATGGTTAGTACATTTTCAAAACAGATGCATTTTTTTCCAGAATTTCTTTCCTTCCACAGTTGGGTTGAATCCCGAAATACAGAACCCACAGATACCACGGCTCAACTATTTTGTTTGGCAAATGAATTTGGGAAACCTTGCCGCAGATCCTTCCTCTTCTTGGAGGTTCACTCGTTGCTCACAGCTGAGCTGCGTGAAATCCCAGATGCACTGCGGCAAGCACAGTGCTGCCCAGCTGGGATTCCCACAAATCCTGTGCATCAAGCCCTTCTCTCTCCATGCAGGACCCAGGGGGAAAACCCCAACCCAAGCCTCACATCCTGGGGGGCGAGAGCCAGGATACATGGGCTCTTAAGGTCTCTATATAGCTGAATTCCAGGATAACACAATACCAACCCCAGATGGTGGTGATGGGAAGGCGGTGACTTTTATCACCACTGGAGTCCTTCATTTCTGCAGATTTAATGTTTCTTAAAAAAAAAAAAGTAAAGAAGGTCCCTGGGTGACGGTGGAGGTGGCAGTGGTGTTGGTAGTGACCACAGCTCCATGCAAAGGGCTTTAAGGTTCCCTCAGTAACTCCTGCAACATCCTAAAGATACAGGAAGCCAGCAAGCCCTCTGTGGGAAGAATAATGCCTCAGCCCTGGTTTCCCAGCTTCAAAGGGCTAAACAGAGTGCATTATACACACACTTACCCCACTGCACCCCACAGCCTTTGGTAGGTGCCCAGGAAACATAATGTCAAGTTCTGAACAGTGTGTAGTGAGTTCACCAACCTCTGATGAGTTGGTGAGCTACGTAATATCCTCTTGCATTGAGATACGGCTGTTTCTACTCTCTTGTCCATT